CCCGGCCCAGCCTGCCCCAGTCCTGACTGCTGCGACCCTAGCCTTAGTACCAGTTTGAGTCCTGGTTTCTCGCCTTTAAATCTTGCTTTCTGCCAACAGACTCTGGGAGGCAGTGGATGATAGTTCAAGCGCTCCTGCCCCTGCCACCAAGGTAAGGGACATGGATGCAGTTTCTGGCTTCTGGTTTGGACCTGGCTGTTATAGGAGGAATAAACCAGCAGATGAAAGATTCTCTTTCTCTCTCTCTCTCTCTCTCTCTCTCTCCCTCCCTCCTCTTCCTCTTAAGTCAATGAAAACAAATTAAGCAGATAAAAATGACTAGAATGAAATTGCTGCCCTGCTTGAGCACCCCTAAGGTGAAAGGATGAATCTATATTCATGGTTTCAGGAGCAGTGAGAATATAACAGGATGGAGAACTCTGTGGATGAAAAAAATAGCGGCGAAGGGCTGTTTCTGCAGCTCTGGGCTCCTGTCACAGCTGCTCTTGTCTCTCGGGCTTGTATGTAGACCCTGTGTCGGGGACCCCTCCTCTTTAGGGGACTGACAGCAATAGGGCTACAGAGCTGACAAAAGCTCAAGGTTGGCTGTGCCCACAGGTTGCTCATTTCCTTTTTAACAGGACAAACAGGCTGTATGACTTTATATGCAGGTATGGAGGCTTAAGAGTGCTCCCATGGGGGTTGCTGAAGAGCAGACTCCCCAACGCTCTCTGACCATGATGGCTGGCGCTCAGTGTCCTGGGGTGAGAATCTGGCTTCTGCACCTAGAGGGCATTGCTTTCACTGCCCATCAGTGCCCTGTGGTCTCCTGAGGACCCCCTGGGCTTACCTTCACCTGCATGGTTATAGGAAACTCCAACAAGGAGACATGTAGGGGAAACAACCTGATGGAGATGGAAGAAAACGGTCTAGTTTGCTTGGAAACCTGAGCATTCTCGGCTCCTTTTGGAAGAGAAAGGGAAAACAAGCCGGTGCGGCTGGTGTTGCCAAGGTAGGTTTCAATTCCCCAGGCACCTCATTGCTGCCTCCTAGTGAAAGTTTTAGAATTGAAAGGAAACCATTTCCTGGAGACAACCTAAGAAGAAAAGAAAGTAAAATTTCGCCAAGTTGTTCTCAGACTGGCCAGCTCTGATGAGATGATTTTGTTATATCAGACATTACTGTGGCCAGAGGGATAATACGGACACATACAGAGTCTACTGATCATATCACATGGGTCTCTGGGAGCTTACCGTCAAGAGTGGGCAAGATAAAACCCATCAAATCTCGAATTCTTTCTCCATTTGTTTTTCCTTTTTACTAACAAGAGACTATTTTCTTTCTTATATACTGGTATTCTTCATGCTTGGTGTAAAATCGCACAAGAGCAAAATAATAATAATAATAACAACATTCTAACAATTCAAACACTACTCACAGGTGGACTGCAAAACATTCATGGAAAAAGGAAATTAACAGGTAAACTTTTTACAAAGCAAAAAAAAAAAAAAAAAGTCTTGAAATCTAGATTTCTTCACAATACTCAGTTTCCAGCAACTTTTGGAAGATTCCTCCAAGGTGAAAAAATTAAAAAGTGAATTTACCACTTGGTAGCCAGGTGCTGTGTACAAGCTCACTACAATTCAGGCCAGGAATGAGGAGGCTGTGTAAGAACCGGGAGGCCGCACTGCCCTCCTTCAACACACAGTTTGTTCTGAGTGCTCTCCTTGGCGGTGAAGGGTTCAGAAGGATTCCCCCAAAACAGACACTCAAAACCAAACCTCTCCTATGCTGAAATGAGATGAAATTTGATTTGGGAATCAGACAAGCACATAAACAGTCATTTTGTCTTCACTACACTTTCATTTGCCAACAGTTCAACATCCCTGGACTTGGGAGCCCTTCGAGTCCACCTACAATCTCAACGCTGTACAATTGGTACTGCAGAAAATATGCCCAAGGAACTTAGCATATCTTGTTTCCTTACCATACTGCACCTGTAAGCGTATATTTCAATCATGAAAACATTTCTTCCCTATGTATTTCTTGCAGATTTTAAAACTTAAATGTGAAGAGCATAAATAACACATCAATACAAAATAAACTTTGTCCATCTTTACCCATTTTATGAATCAAAATAATCTTCACAATTAGATACAGCTTTATTCACAGTGCGTGGTGAATAACAGTTTTCATAGCCTGTGTTTCTATGCATGCGTTCTTTGAGTGACACTGTATAATATTTTTGTCTCAAACCTATTATACAAGTTAGTAGGTTAAAAACTCAGGGATGATAATTTTGTAGTTTATCATTACAAAGCAGTAGAGTTAATATGCTAGTCTGTGTAATTACACCTGCTAGTGTGTTAACTTCGCTCCACCCAGAGTGTGAACAGCACTTTTACATAGCCTGTAAAGGGATATGGTTCTAGAGAAGTCATTCCAATTGTTCAGCCACACAAGGGCATAACCGACACAAAATAGGCATTTGCAAATGTGACTTCTAAAGAAAAATAAACTTCCATATTCTCATAACTAAAATTGTACAAAAAGCATCACTATTGTGAAAATGAACCAAAGTAGCCAAGTTTAAGTCTTAACAAATCTGAAGGCCTTAAAGCAACTCGAAAGTTTGTCATTACAATCAATGCCCTGTGCCCGTGTGTGTGTGTGTGTGTGTGTGTGTGTGTACAGATTCCACACAAATCGTATGCCAACTTCAAGAGCTAAAGTGTGCACAAGTTCCTGCCTGCACAGACCACACGGCAAGGTCAAGCCCAAGTTTCCAAGGCACTGCGCAAGTTCTCCCTGAAAACAGAACACGTTCTAACTACTGAAGAAAAAACTGCCAAACAGCATCAGAAAAGCCAGGTTCAAAGGAGAGATGCGTTTCCTTGCTTATTTCAGAAAAACGACTTATACCTCCCACTAAGTTTAAACACTTTCCCCATATCTGTGCATTTAAGGGAGATACTGCGAAGTGGTGTATCTCCAAGACATCAATACACAGGTGGCTGTGAAAACAGAACTAAAAGAAAACACATAAACAGATTTTTTTTTTTTTTTGGTAAGAATTAAGTAGCCTGTCCAGGATGCATACGCTCAGCCTGGGTCAGCTTCTCTCCAAAGGGTCGTCAAGAGGCCACTTAGTCCCTCCTGGGCCATTTGCTACTTCACTCCGTCGCAGCCCGGGCGCATCATCAGGGCAAGAAAACGCGGGAAGCCAGTCACTACCCAGACCTCCAAGGAAAGCGAGCCCTTTTGCGAACAATCCTCACACAGTGTCATCACGGGGTGCGCACCCCCCCCCCCGCCCCGGGATTAACCCTCTTGGTTGGCGAGGCTCTCCTGGCAATCGCTCCTGAACCTCCGCCTGCACCTCTAGTGCGGCGGCGCCGGCCGGCCACGATAGCCCGGGATGATACCAGGGGTTGCCAACGCCGACCAGTGCGCAGACTCCGCGGCGCGCTCCGGACTCTCCACTCGCCTCAACCTGCTCTCCAGTGAAAAGGAGTGGGAGGAGGAGTACTGGGAGGGGGCGGGGGCGGAGGGGATCCTGTTAATTCGAGGTCCTGGGGGTGTGGGAGCGGGAGGAGGCTCCGCTGGTCCCTCCTCCCTCCTGCGGGCTCCGGCTCCACCTCCTCCACATGCCCCCAGATATACACACACTCAGCCGCGGCTGGACATGCACACCGAGCGCCGGCTGCGGGCGGGCACACTAGGTAACGACACTCACCTGAGCCGCTGCCGAGAGCTCCTACCACCAGCGGAGCGGCCTCGCGGCTGCCTGGGCCATAAAGAAACCCCTGCGCTGCACGAGTGGGGAAAGCCGGAGCAGACCTGCGAACTGAGGTGATGGCGTGTGTCGCTTAAATCTTCTCCTCCGGCACCCCGGCCGGCGCGCCTACTGGGTTGCGGTCGGAGAACGAAGACAGAGAGGGGCCCTGGGCGCGGGGCGTCGGCGGGTGCACGCTCCAAGACCTGCGCGCCCGAAGAGGCGCGGCGGAGCCGGCGCAGGAAACTTGGGCGAAGTTAGTTGCAAGTGCCCGGGCGGCAACCGAGAAGCCGGGAGGGGAGAGAAAGCGGCCCAGGCTCGGCCCCCGGCGCGCCAGGCAGCGCTGCCTTCCTTCCCGGAGCCTGAGTCGGCCGGCGCGCCTGCAGGGGCCTGGAGAGCGCGGAACCAGTATGGCCCAGCGGACTGGAAGACGCGGAGCTTCGGAGGGCCGGGCGCATTTCCTCTGAGGCCGGGTGACCCTGGGCTTGCTCCGGCCTCCTCCGACCTCTCTCCTCGCCCCTCCTGCCCTGCGGCCCGAGAGGAAGACTCAAGCAAGGCAGGTGCTGGCGGAGGGGGGGGGACAACTTCCCCCCCTCCATCCCTCCACCCCAGCCGCTTTGGGGTGAGGGCGACCGCCATCAGCGAGCCCAGGCCGGGTCGGAGAGAGCGCGCTGGGGCCGCGGTGTAATTGTATTTATATCCATCGCTGCGTTCTGTGTTCCCGCGGCGCCCGGACCCTCCCCCGCCTCCCCCTCCTCTCCCTCGCGCGCGCTCCTCTCTCTCTCTCTCTCTCTCTCTCTCTCTCTCTCTCTCTCTCTCTCTTTTTGCTGCGGGCCACCTCCCCTCCTCCCCCACCCCCATCTGCTTCTGTCAAATGAGAAAGTCACCGAGGAGAACCCAAACACTCCAGCCGCCGAGAGCCCCCTTTGGCACTTGGCAGCACGCGGCGGAGGGCGCCTCGACGCAACTTTCACCGCTGCTTTGCACTTGAGAGAGAGAAAAAAACGAGGAGCGAGCTCGGCCGGGCCGCGGCTTACCTGCGGGGACCGCGCAAGCCAACGGCCGGCCGCCAGAGAGGAAGGACGGCAAGGAAGGCAGAGGCCAGGTGCCCCCGCAGGCCGGGGGCACCCCGGAGAAGTTACAGTGTTGCAGCCGGAGGGCCCCCGGAGGCCGGCGGCGCTCCGTGGCCCTGGGCCGGCGCCCCGGCGCCCTCGTCCCGGGTGGGAGCGGCGCCCGGCGCGCAGTCAACATTGATTTCCTCCTGGCCGGGGGCGAGGGCCCGGGCGGCGCGCTGCAGCCGCGGCCCGGCGACAGCATGTCCAAGCCGGTGGACCACGTCAAGCGGCCCATGAACGCTTTCATGGTGTGGTCGCGGGCCCAGCGGCGCAAGATGGCCCAGGAAAACCCCAAGATGCACAACTCGGAGATCAGCAAGCGCCTGGGCGCCGAGTGGAAGCTGCTCACCGAGGCGGAGAAGCGGCCGTTCATCGACGAGGCCAAACGCCTGCGCGCCATGCACATGAAGGAGCATCCCGACTACAAGTACCGGCCGCGGCGCAAGCCCAAGACGCTGCTCAAGAAGGACAAGTTCGCCTTCCCCGTGCCCTACGGCCTGGGCGGCGTGGCCGACGCCGAGCACCCTGCGCTCAAGGCGGGCGCCGGGCTGCACGCGGGCGCGGCCGGCGGCCTGGTGCCCGAGTCCCTGCTCGCCAACCCGGAGAAGGCCGCCGCCGCTGCCGCCGCCGCCGCCGCGCGCGTCTTCTTCCCGCAGTCGGCGGCCGCCGCTGCCGCCGCCGCCGCCGCCGCCGCCGCGGGCAGCCCCTACTCGCTGCTCGACCTGGGCTCCAAGATGGCAGAGATCTCGTCGTCGTCGTCCGGCCTGCCGTACGCGTCGTCGCTGGGCTACCCGAGCGCGGGCGCCGGCGCCTTCCACGGCGCGGCGGCGGCTGCTGCAGCAGCGGCCGCGGCCGCCGGGGGGCACACGCACTCGCACCCCAGCCCGGGCAACCCTGGCTACATGATCCCGTGCAACTGCAGCGCTTGGCCCAGCCCCGGGCTGCAGCCGCCGCTCGCCTACATCCTGCTGCCGGGCATGGGGAAGCCTCAGCTGGACCCTTACCCCGCGGCCTACGCAGCGGCTCTATGACCCTGCGGGGCCGCCTTTGCGGGACCGCTGTGGCCGCGTGTACATTTGTATAGGTACGAGCCCGCGGCAGGTGTCGGGGAGCTGTACAGAACGCTGTATAGGTTTGCCAAGCCCAGGCCGAGAGCCGGTCGGGCCACGGGTGGGCCGAGGGCGCTGGGGGCAAGTGTGCGTGTGAGCGCACAAGATCGCGACCGACCCTCCCTGGGGGCCAGCAGCCGCGTGCTAAAAAGACAGCTGGGCCTGGCAGCAGCTGTGGGGTCGCTTTGCACTCGGGAACCTGTTGCGTTTTGGCCCACGGGGGTGGAGGAGTGACGTGTGGACGCGCCGGGCTTCCCTGGGCTGGCTTGCTGGAAGTTTCCTGGTCGATTTTGGTTTTGTTGCTGGCTCGCGCTCTCTCTCTCTCTCCCTCCACCACCCCCCATTGTGAGGTCTCTGTGGCTAGCACAGGGGCGGGCAGAGCTGGGGGGGGGGGGGGTGTGTGTGTGTGTGTGTGTGTGTGTGTGTGTGTGTGTGTGTGTGTGTGTGTGTGTGTGTGTGTGTGTGTGTGTGTGTGTGTGTGTGTGTGTGTGTGTGTGTGTGTGTGTGTGTGTGTGTGTGTGTGTGTGTGTGTGTGTGTGTGTGTGTGTGTGTGTGTGTGTGTGTGTGTGTGTGTGTGTGTGTACGCGCGCGCTTCCAGGATTCCTCCTGGCACCTTGCTCCCCGGCTGTGCCATATGAACTTTACAGATCTCTGTTCTTTTCAAGCGGAACCCCGGACCGGATCCATGCTTGACCAGTGACCAGCTCCAAGCTGGTCTTTTGCACGTGAGTGGATCGTGGTTGCTTTTGTTTATCACGCCACATGCAAATTGGAGCTGGTGGCTCTTTCGCCAAAGCCAGAAACGCCAGCCACAGACCTGTGAGATCAAAGTTATTTGGATTTTCGCCCTTAAAAAAGGAAGAAAGAAAACTGCTAGAAAATTATCCCGAGGCTCCCTGGCTTGCATTTTTGATACCATTTACCAACCCCGGGGAGAGACAGCCTTCCCTTTCCGCCCTTCTGCTCGAGTCCGCCTTCAGATTTGTAAATGTGTACATGTTCGTGAAATCACTGAGTCTTGGAAAATGTGTTATTTTCATTGCCCTAGATCTGAGTCGGTTTTAGACTCAAAAAAAAAAAAAACCATTTGGAGCAAATGTTAAAGTTAACTTTTAGAGATTGCGGAACGATTTCAGAGTCGCAATGGTACCTGATTAAATCAGACTTTTTTGTCTGAGTGGTAGTTATATATTTATTATTTAGCATAACTGGGGGGGCAGGGAGAAGCACGGGATTGTTCGGACAGATCGCTCATTTTCAGCTAGCATTTCTCCCCCCCAACTTGAACTATTTTCATGTGTTTTGGAGTTCCACTCCGTGATTAGTTTATTTTTAGGTTACTCGCAGTTCATTTAAAAATTATGATAAAACACATTTTTAGAAAAACAAAAAGGACTTTCCTTAATTATAGCTTTTTGTTTGTTTTAAAATGTATATATTTTGGCTAATGTTTGTGAAGGAAGTTGGCTAACATGTATTTAGTTTCATTATGGCTTCATGTAATATAAAGTTTTAAAAAGTTTAATTATTGGTTTTAACCTTTATGTGTAAATGCTTTTCTTGTGTAATCTAATTTAATATTAGACGTCTGAGCTCTGTACATTAGAATCCAAGCATCACTCTGTTCATTTTTTTTGAACAAAGAGTTTAAATAAAGCCTGAACCAGGGAAAAGAGAGAAAAAAAAACCCTCTATTTCTTGTTGAGTTCCTAACAAGATTTTTATCTGAATTGCCCTTATGTGCCTGGTCCAGGTGAGGTGAAAGGTATCCTCCAAAGACAGTCTTTGTTTCACTTTGGAATAGATTGACTAGGAAATCTAAATCAAGCCATTGTGATTCAGAGCCAAAAGCCTGATTTATCACATTTTTAATCGTGAATAGGAAAGAAGATTAAAAAAATCAAGTAGTTGTATTATCTTTTTTTTTTTCTTTTAAGGCATTCATGAACCAGAAAAGAGCCCATTGAAAACATCCCGGCGTTCAAAGCTTTGCACCAGTTTCTAGTAACATTTTCAGAGGAGAAAGTTGCCTGACCACTTTATCTGGTTAGCAGCCTCACCACTTAAAGTCATGTAATTTGTTAGGTATCTTCGGGGTATTGCTTGTTTACACTTTTCTGTCTTATTGGGGAAGCCATCACTATTACCAATGATGTACAACTTTTGGCCCCTGGAAAACTTTATTCATGCTAATTGCATTTAAATATAAATCCAGTGTCAGGCATCTTGAGGCAAAAAGTTAAATTTCCAGGGCTTAGACAAGCCTCCACTGGAAAAAAAAAAAATTGGAGATCCTAAGAGATTTTGGTGTTAGAAAAGAAACGAGTGAGTGCCAAAGACGGTATCAGTGTGCGTGTGTGTGTGCGTGTGTGTGTGTGTGTGTGTAGGAAGATTCCCCCTGCCCCCCACCCACCAAGATGGACTAGCTGGACACACAGCATACATATGCCACTGCCCTCCTCCCTCTCACTGTCTGGGAGCTGCGCGTCTTTATAAGCGACCCAAGTGTTTAAAGTGCCTCTTCTCCCCCTCCCAACGGAATCATGTTTTAAAAACCATGAAAAGTTTTGGAAATGTGAGGAATCAGCTTTGGCTGGCTTGACCCTGATTCACTAGTTAAAACGATCCCTCTTCTGTTATTCCCCAAGCTCTTTGCAATATTATAAGTTAATTCATATGGTTCTGAGCGATTATGCAAAACTAATTTGGACTGTCCAGGGGTAATTATCCCTGACACGGTTAATTAAATCCTTTCAGGGCTTGTCTTTCCCTTTTGTAGCCGCCCAGCACTTCTCAACACGCAACTTCCTGCGGCTCGCTGCAAATCACCCCAGCCCGAAATCTCAGCGTTACCTCTCTGGGCCCCTCCGGCCTGGAGGGTTCCCCCGCACCGCCCCCAACCCACGCTGCCACCGCCCCGCAGCGTCCCCTGAGATCGGCGTTCCCGGCGAGAAACGCTCCGGAGGGATTGATGAATGGGAGGGGGACAGGGAAGATGAGTCCGACGGGGTTGGGAGCGGTGGAGGCTGGGTGTCCCGGGAGAGTGTAGGGTCCCCCGAGCTCATTGTTGCGGCTGTCTGCGGAAGGCCCTGTGACTCGTCGGTCGCCAGCTCTGACTCCGACGGTCTGGCTGACAAGTCGGTGGGGGTCGCTCCCCTGGAGAGGGTCTCTGGCCAAGTGGGGCTGATGCAGAATTCGGGACAGGAGTCGGGGCGCGAGGGCGTGGAAAAAGGGCTGGGGCCGAGCGAGGTGAGAGAAGGTCCCAAGTGGCCCGCGCACTGCCGTGCGGGGTCCAGGCACAGACCTGCTGTCTGGAGAGTCTCTCTCTCTCTCCCTCTCCCTCCCTCCCTCCCTCCCTCCCTTCTCTTCCTTACTTTTTGTTCTTCCATTTTTTAGTCCTTCTTCCACGGCTTACTCCCCGCACTTCCACTCCCCCCCCCCCCCCCGCCCAAATATCCACGACGCTTCTTGGGTATTCGCCATTGGCCTGAAAGCGTTGACTGAGTTTGGGTCACTCCTGCCAGGAACCCGGCTGCGGGCAAACAAGTTGATCGTCTCTCGCCTGGCAGTTGGGACGGTGGCGACGACGCTGCCGCGCGTGGGGGCAGCTTCGGGGGAGCCGGGGACTGGCCGCGGTCTAGTTCTGGAAGGTTTTCTCTCCCTGCCTCCCCTCACCGCCCCCGTTAAAATAAGAACGACGACCAGACGGCGGGCTCGCCTCTCCCGGCGCGGCTCCGGGCTTGCCTGAGCTCCGGGCGCGCAGGTGGCGGAGAGACGTCTCCCCGGGTTCCCCGGGACCGACCGAGCTCCGCACGCCAGCCAATCAGAGCGCAGCGCGGCGGGGGCGCCCGGGACCTTGGCCGCAGCATCCTCCCGGGGGCCGTGGTACCCGCGGGGCGCTCGGCCGTCCGGAGGGTCCGCGCCGCTCCCGAACGCCCACGGCCGGGCGCAGGCCCAGGCGCGCCGTCCAAACTTTATTAATCTCTCCCCCCGTTTCTTTCTCCCTCGATCCAGTGCGTCTCAAAGGTCAGCCCTCTTCTTTTAAAAGACTGATATTATTAATTCACTGACAATCCTCCCTCCTCTTTTTCTTTTTTTTCCCCCCTCTTGCAGGGAAAAAAAAAAGGTGGTGGGAGGATGTTGAAAAGAGCTTTTTTTTTTTTTTATCCTCCTTTTTTTGTCCTTCAGTGGGAGCGTTTAGACAGTCGAGGAGGTTTTGTCCGCGAACAAAACGCAGGGTTGGGAGGTTTGGTGAGAGTGCTGTTTGTTGAAGTGGAGCTAAGAAAAAACGGCGGCTTTCCCTCATTGTGAAGAACCCAATCAGTGGTATTTGGAAAACTGTTAGCATTGTGCACTTGTTCTGTGTCCGTTGTGAGGCGCTTCTTTTCACAAGGTTTTTTTTTTCAGCCCATCCAGCTGGCCGGGATGAATAGCACAGCAATGTGTACAAGGCTTTGTCCCTCCGGCCTTCAAGTAGCCCCCATTGAATAGACTAAGTTGACACTGCGTGACAGTGAAACAACATAATAAAAAATACATGAGCTCCTGAATAGGAGCAGGCGCATAAATAAATAAAATGGGTGACCAAAACTGGATAAACTGAATGACAAAACGGTGAAAGGGGAACAAAAAGATATTTAACACGCTAGATTAGCATTAGAATGCGATCTACAAGGCAGAACAATTGATGAATAGGTTTACCGGCCAAGAAAGAAATGGACTAAATGCCCTTTGAATAGATATGCTTTTGCAAGGGCTTTGAATAGATATGCTTTTTTTTTTTCTGCAAGGGCTGAATGGGAAAAGGTAAAGATGAAGCTATGCAAATGAGTGGGGGAACTTTTTATATATATTCTTTAAACACACACACACACACTGTAGGGGAAGGGTGCTGCCACGGGGTGTTTATAGAAGCAATAATTGCCATTATTAGCATTGTCTACAGAAGATAGAAATTGAACGGGTCCGGATAATATAGGGTAGC